ATACCTTGAAAGGGGGCTGCCTCAGGGATGTGCTAGGGCCTGCTTTTGAGTGGGGAAGGCTGGAGTCTCACGGGGAGCGGGTCTCCTCCTACTGCTAATCAGGGTAGTGGTGACTTTTCTTAGCCCATTTGTGCTGGGTCATTCAGTAGGTGGGGCTGAGGCAGCCAACCCCAGATTGGGCCAGCTCAGCACAGACTCTGCCATTGCAATGGCTGCTGTCAGGGCCCTGGGCCTGACTGAGCTGCCTCACGCTAGCACAGGCCTGGGGTCTGACTCGTCGCTAGAGGTGCTGACATTTCATGAGTGTGTCCTGGCTCAGTGGGTGCATTTCCCAGGAGTGCTGGGTGCAGGCTGATGTGAGCCACCAGCAGCTTCCTTTCAGCCTCAAAGGACTCTGGCTGCGATGTCCTGCAAGGCAGGCATCCAGTGACCATGGGGAACAGAGAGAAGGCTAGCACAGGCCTGGGGTCTGACTCGTCGCTAGAGGTGCTGACATTTCATGAGTGTGTCCTGGCTCAGTGGGTGCATTTCCCAGGAGTGCTGGGTGCAGGCTGATGTGAGCCACCAGCAGCTTCCTTTCAGCCTCAAAGGACTCTGGCTGCGATGTCCTGCAAGGCAGGCATCCAGTGACCATGGGGAACAGAGAGAAGGTGTGAGCCACCTTTTGGGTGGGTGGGGTGCAAGAAGCAGTCTACGCAGAATCCCTGAGGCAGCTGAGCTCTGGCAAACAGGCCTCATCCCTAAGGCTGCACAGAAAGTCCTGCTGCATAGTTAACATGAGGGTCCCCTGGCACAAAGCCTCATTCAGTTAGCACTAACTCTATTGACCATTTCTGTGGCTGATCCTCCCAGGGCTCTCCTGAGCAATACAGCCCAATCTGCTGGCAATAGCATGTGAGAAGAGGCTTTCCAAACTCCACAGGTAAATGCAGGGGGACAGGGAGCAAGTGGCAGTGGTGCTATTTTGGGACTACTATGGCCAGCTCAGAACTCCTGACCTCAGCAAGCTGGGATGCCCCAGGTGTCCTTGGCTGCACGTGAAGCAGCAGCGCTTTTATTTAGCATCCCCTCTTTCATAAAATAAATCGCTAGTGACCCTCGCCACGTCTTGCAGCCACTCAAACCTGTACACTCTGATTTCTCCCTGGAGGTTTGCTTCTGATTATAGCATTGGGAACCGTCTAAAAACTGCATCTGGAATTAAAAATAGCAGTTACTCTGGAGTGTGATATCCTCCGAGTGTTAGTTCTGCAGTCTCGCCGATCAATGCTGGACCGAGAGGCTCGTTACAGTTGCATTGATTCTGTTCACAGTCGGATGCTCCAGTCAAAAAGTTTTTTGCCAGTCTTGCTTTATTAGCCATGAAAGGATTTTCTTTTCATTCATTATTGAAAAGCCTGAGTTCAATAAAGCACAGAGGTTTTTAAAAGGATTAGAAATGTGTACCTTTGCTTTAGAATGGCAGAGGAGGAAAACTCCATCTAATGGAAACCTGATGCTGACTGAAGAGAAGAGTGCTTGGTCAGATTCCTGCACTTGGGGGAAGTAGTCTTGCAAGAGGCTTGAATGGCTTCAGAGGAAGTTTAAAAAACCAGAGAGCTGTGTTTCCTACCAAACTCGCTGGTGTTTACGTATAGCAAGGAGAGAGCCTGGAAAATGACTGGGTTCTCACAGGGTCTGGCCATTGGGGCCAGAAGGGAGCTTCAGCAAGCCCAACATGCTGCTCCTACTGAACAGAATCCTCTCCTGCTCCCATGGCTAT